ACCGCACATATGCCCCTGGCATACACATGCACATGCCCCGCTAGTCATAAATGACTGTCTTGTGTATGTACTGAACTGTGCATGCCGCTTAAAAGGTTCACCATGCGCCAGCCTGTACTGTAGCTCATAGGGAGTGGCATCCAATCTCATGTTTTTCGAGTCTTGAGAGCATTATAGCTTTCTTTCTCTGTTTAATTTTCTCCTGAACATACTACTGCGACCTGCTTCATGGCTCCCAAATGCGGAAAGACCAGTGGCAGTGATGGCAGAAGCAAGGGACAATGGAGAATTGTTGATTTGGGATTGAAACGAAAGATTGTTATGTGGCAGAAAGGTGGAAAATCAGTGAATTGCTGCATATTGCTTGTGATTTAGGCATGTTACTCTCAAAAACAAAGAAAAAGTTCTCTAAGCGCTTAAAGGACCTCTTGAAAGGCACCAGCTAACATAACTTCGAGAGGAACCTAAATCAGATACGGAGAAATCGCAGGTCAAACGTCATCATTGTGATGACCACCACTCGGGCAAGATGTTCCTGATGCTTAAAGAAAAAGCAGGTCACCCTAGGACAGGTGTGTGCACAGTGTCCACATCACTCAACGTCCTTATTTCAAAGAACGGTAGTGTGGCTGTTGGTAGGGCTACTGATCTTTGGTATTGAGCACTGCTATCCCAGAAATACCACAAGTGGGTGGTATTTAAACACAAATTGGTTTTCTCACAGTTTAGAGGGCAGAAAGTCCACATTCAGAGCGCTGGCTAGGGGAAATCTTTCTCTTGGAGCTCTGGGCGAAGGTCCTTGGTCCCTGCAGTTTCTGTTCTTCGGTGATCTTCATGCTGGGTGCCATCTGTCTCACCCCGTCTCTGCGTGCTTGATACCTGGGCTATCTCCTCCTATCTCAAAAGAGATGGATGTAAGACGAATACAGTCTCATTAACGTGGCAAACCCATTCCCAAATGGGATTATAGCCACAGGTGCAGTTAGGATTTATAGCACTTATGTGTATAAGTAAAAAAGGTAAAGGCACAGAACCCTTTATTAAACAAGAGCATCAAACTGTGCAGGTACTGTGTCGCAGACATCCTCCCTCGGTCTGTACACTTGTGAGGACGGCGTTCCCACTTCTCCAACTGTTCCCCGAAGAATTCTACACTTTCCCGTCAAAATTTCCATTCTGGCCGTCTTGGGAGACTCAAATCAGACTGCCTTTCATATTGGTGTTTGGGGAATAAAGGAAGTCTGAAGCTACAAGAACAGGGCTGTCGGGCGGATAGGGTATAAGATTTTGCAATGAATTTCTCACAGAACAGCTCTTGCTACCCTGAAAGAACAAGTGCTTGTTGTGATGAGGGGAAAAATAAAAAAATTCTCGACACAACTTTCCTGACATTTTTCTTTACAATTCAGGGAGAAAGTTTCTTAAAACTTTGTCTTATGTCCTTCAAGAAAATCTATCAAGTTTACCCCTTTTGACTCTCCAACCAGTTGCTGTCCCTGCATTGCCTTGAACTGGTCCAGTAGAAGCCACTGTTCTGATTCGACCCTTGCTCCCTGGATCCTACTGGCAAACCCAAGGCTGGGTCTGGCTCTGATTCATTCCACTGAACCATCTTCATTAGCCTCATCGTAAAAGACTGGTGAACAGAGTGGCTGCTGAGCTGGTCGATCGCCATTCACTTTTTTTTTGGGGGGGGTGCGTGTTTTGGAGGCACCCTACTGAGACCAAGACCAGGGTGTTGCTGAGAGGACTTCCCTGCAGCCCTCCACGCAAGGTCACACAGATGTGGTTAAACACCTTCCTTCGCTTTAAACCCATGCCTGCACGGATCAGAATCCCAGTAGCAATACTTTCTGACTCAGCCTTGTATTGGGGTGGCCACTGAAACCAGAACACCCCTGGATCTTGTGTTAGGGCCTGTATTTATCTTTTCTGGCTTGAGGAGAATTTGGGAATCTTGAGGAACATTTTAATAATGAAAACAGCTAATATTTCTTGAAAACCCTCTTTGTGTCCAGCCGTCATCCTAATTGCTTTACAGGCTTGATTTCATTTACTCCTCACCGTGGCCTTGCAAATTAGCTAGTTGCAGTCCTAGGAGTCACGGCTCACTCTCTCTCCTCTTCTTTGCTTCTTTCTGTAGGCAGGGTTCATCCTTGCTAGGTCCAACTCTGGCCTATCTCGAACTCCTTAGAGGCAAGGATGGCGAGATGTCGTCTTACCTACTTCGGACATGTCAGGAGAGACCACTGCTGGGGATGGACATCCTATTAGCAAGGGAAGAGGGACAGCACTGGAGGGATGACCCTCAAGGACATGGATTGACACCGGGTCTGCGACAGTGGGCTCAGGCATAGAGCAATTGTGAGGCAAGCACAGGACCTGGCAGTGTTACGCTCTCTTCTGTGTGGGGTCTCTATGGGTCAGAACCGGCTCAGTGGCGCCTAACAACGGTCAGTCTATGTTTAGAATGTAAAGTCTCCCAGTAGAGGTAGATCTCCCACGGCAGTTGATGTTTGGTTATTGTGTGTTGAATGGATCAGTGTGTGAATATCTGCAGAATGAGGTGGGACCACATTGGGACGGTGCAGAATCGTCTGATAACTCATTATTTAGGAAACAGTGGAACTGGCTTTCCCCCGCCAAGTTCAGTTTGGTCGATCTTGGAGAAGGGAAGTGTGAAGGACTCTTCCCTCTCGTGCCATCATTATGAAGAGGGCGGTTTGGGGTGTGCAGCCCCCAGAACCACACGATTTCAGGGAGCCCTTCCCAGAACAGTCAAGAGGTTTCATTCTGGGCCAACTATACAAATGTCTGTCAGATTGCGTTTTGTAGAGACGGCCATGGAGGGGGCAGAAAGGGAAGGAACGGGAGCAAGATCACCAGTCGGAACTGGTACGGTCCAGGTGCAAACTGGATTTTAATGGACTCCGGCTTATCATCTTTCCACGTAGCCACCACATCACGCGAATGCCAAGGGTGCAATGGAACAGGGTGGCCTGGCCGCCTGACACTCCACTGTCCCCTGAAAACCTCTTCAGTGTGACATTGGTGCCACCCCAAGGGCCTTACCAATTCCACAGCAGGGACAGAAAGATCACTTCCCTCTCTGGGCTCTGCTGGAAAACCAAATGAGAAATCTGAAACATTTTTGAAGATTACAAAGCATTTAAATATAAGATTTTGTTTGTTTCGCTGTATGGCCCTTTTTTTTTTTTTTAACTATTTTAGAAACATGTATAAGAATAAAACAATTGACTGGATATGAATTAGGTTGTACGTGTTTATGAACATACCTTGACTAATTGGTTGAATTGTTTTCTTAAGACAAATAAGAAAGACTTGTCAGTAAGACGTCATTTGTCATGAGCCAGTTCAGACTCCTTTGAAGAAATGCATATAAATGTTAATATTGCAACTGCAAATGACACTTTGCAGAAGAGGCAATAGTTTAGGACTTGATGTTGGAAAGATACTTTCAAATGTTGCCAGATACAGCATGCCATCCCGTATGTCTTCTAGGAATGCATCTTTATAGAATGTGCTTTGTAGGACAGAGCCCGAGGCTTACCTTCTGTAGCATGTGAAAGAAATTAGCCTGTAGTTTAGCGAACCAAATGTACCAGCATGTACTAGCTAGAAAAGTTGGTTTCAGTTCTTGAAAAATCAATTTTCCCAAGTCCACCCACATGTGTTACATATTGTAGATATTAATTCTTTTAATATGGTAGATCTGAGCCATGGAGAGAAAGAAAATTAATTAGAGGGATTTTAAAAAATGAGCCTAATTAGAGGAAATTAAGTTACTTTAGGTATGTTATTTAAAAAAAAAACACACCAAAAAATACAACAATTAATTTTTAGCTGCCTTTGAAAACCATAGTAGCTCTAATAGCTCCATGCTTTCCTGTCTTTTCTCCGCTTACTCCTCCAAGGTGTTGTAAGTGAGAGCAGCTCGCTGTGGAAAGCATTTCCAAACTGCATTCTGATCTCTGGGACCGCTGCCACCGCTGCTTCTCACTGAGAGTGATTGCTAGGTGCCTGGGCTTCCATTTTTATAGCCAGTCATTCTCTAGCGTGGTTACTTTTGCCTCTAGCATGGCCTTTGCTTTTCTAGTCTAATCAGGCCAAGCTGAGTAATACTCAGTTTTTAAGTTTGGTCACTTGTAGCCTAATTGTGACCCAGCCTAAAAGCACCTAAAAGAAATATTAGCATCAGACATACTACTCTTTCACTCTGAGTGTATTTTTAGTTTTCTAGCAATGATGATTTCTCAATCACCTTATGATTTGGGGGCGGGGGCGCAGGCATGATAGAACCGTGTGCCCTGTGCCACTGTTTGATATCATTGGACTGGTAACCACATGGTCGGTGAATCAAACACACCAGCTTCTCCAAGGGAGAAAGGTGACCATTCTGTTCCCATAAAATTTTACAGCCTCAGAAACCTAAAATAAGGGCACTATGAGTCAAAATTGATTTGACAGTGGAATATACAAAAATTTGCATACACTATTACTTTATTATTTCAATCCACCACCACCACCCTTTGCAAATAGTCTCTGTGACTAACCTTCCTTCTAGAAATCCCTGGTAGCCTGTGGAATTATTTTATGGTTTTTTAACTTAGCAGATCTTGAACCCTTTCGGATTTGCTGGTTTGCATGAAATGATGAGGGTCTATCCTGGGCCCTCTGTGTATACCCAGCTCTCTGAGCCTTGTGTGGGTGCTGACCCTGAGCTTTGGGAATGTGAGGCGTTTGGCACCACTGTCAGGTGCATCCGTCCAGGTGCTACGAGGTCCAGTGGCTGAAAGGCATCCCACCCAGCTCCATCACTAGTTTTATGACCTTCGGTAGTGGGTGGCTCCTCCGGTCTGAATTAGGTATCCCTCCTCTGTTCTCCTATAGAAGCCTCTTGTTGTATCATGCCTCCTACCCCAGTATTGATTTCTGCTCGCCTACAAGCAAATGACTGAGTGATTCATTTGTTTCCACAGAATTTTGACCAAGTCAGTCTTTGGGATGACTGTCCAGTTGACAAGAAGGAAAGCTAAATAAGCACTTGCCACCACCACCCATCCTCGCCCCTTTCTTTTTGAAGAGATCGTCATTCAAGTTATTATGATCTAAAGCCCTCCAAATAAAACCCCACTTGGTTTTAATTGACTGAATACAATTATTAGAATATGGAAAATGAGCCAGACACTGAAACTATGGAACAGAGCCTTGGTGCCAAGACTACTGAAGAAGAGCTGAGTAAGTCATTCAGCCTAGAAGCTTCGCTTTCAAAACTCTCCTACACGGATTTGGACAAGGAATTGGAGTTCACCAATGATCTGGTAAACATTTCAACTTTTGTCAAACGATGATATTTAACCGAAGTATTGGTTAGAGTGTGTTTTCATGACCCAAATAATCTAACCCTGTCATTCTTGTGTGAATTAATAAGGGTTCCTGTACAATCTTAAGAGAGAAAATAGCTCCATTTCTCTAGTTCTTTACAGTTCATGGAATGCTCGGATACCTATTCTCGTGTGAGCCTCACAGCTAAAAACACCTGTGTGGCAGCCTTCTAATTGTTGAGCAAACCAAAGCTGGGCCCTCCCTGGTAAAGGATCCCTCAAGGACACAGAGCCGGTGGTCAGTGTAGGACTCATATCTTGCTCAGTGACCTCCCTCCTTGAGGTGATCCTTAGGCAACATGTTTCCGTGACCTTGAACTTGCTTGACCTAATCATCTCTCATCGAAATTTATGAGGTCACTAAGAAATGCAGTTTCAGACCCTTGCCATGCTGCTGATGACATGTAGCTAGACTTGAAGAAACACTGAGCGGTTGTCCTGAGAAAGCAAATGCAGAAGTCCTTCGGCAGCAGCTTCTGGAAAGAATTGTCCAGATGGTGCCGAGAGGGTCTGTTTGCCCAGGTTAGCCACTGAGTGTGGAGGGGAAAGGAAGCCTGGCCCTTTTCACCATGGATTATTGCGGGGACTGTGTGAGGAGACGGGTGGTCTCTTTGCCCCTTACTTGGTAATGCTTCTAATCCCGTACAGCACCATTATGTCACCATTCACTGTCTTTTCCTATGTAGATCGATGACAAGGAGTTTGATATTCCTCAAGTTGATACTCCCCCAACACTGGAAAGCATATTGAATGAGGTAGGTATCCATTAGTCATCACTCATTTGCAGCATTGATTTTAATAGGATGGGCTGGTTTAGAACATCTAATTTAGACGTGCACGGTCGACTCTCGATTCCATAGTCATGTGAGGCTCTTTAATTAAAATTAGATAACCATCAAAACGTCCAGTTCTTCAGGTGCGCAGGGCTAATCTCAGGTGGCCAGCCCAGTCACAGAATGCGTCCACTGCAGAGTCTTCTGCTGGCTGCGCAGGTCTGGATCGAGAGACACTTAGGAGCAGGCTCCAGGCAAGTTATTCTTAAGTGAATGAAAATACCACTTGGACGTTACTGGTGAGGTTGGTATTCTGTGTTGATGGCGGTTAGTCAGTCAGTTGATCTGTACCAGTGCCAGTGACCCTCAGGCAGCTTGCCATCTGATCGCCATGGGGAACACATCTACCTTATTCTACAAAGACAGTTCATCTTCCGTAGTTTATCGCACAAGCACCACTTCTACTAAGAAAATGTTTCTGCATCTTCGAGTGGTGGTGCTATTTCCTGAATTGGCGGAGCCTAACGACATCTATAAAGCTTTGAGAGTTCATGGTGGGTGAATTCCCCCTTTTTTATGTACCCTGTGTCAGCAGCCAGCTTTTCAGCCCAGGCTTCTGGGTCTTTAAAGACTTGCTTCGGGCTCCCCTTGCAGGTATTAGCTTCTAATTTGAGAAGGACTTTTCTATGTGTAAATCTACTTCAGATCAGTAGTTACCTTGTCTAAAAGAGTCATTTCTAAAGCAGAAAGGGCCATTGATGCCAGAGCTCCGCATGAATTGGGTCTCTGTCTCTGATACTTTTTTTATCTGCACTTCTGGGGTTGTAGCCAGCCCCCCGCAGGACGCAGACGACTGTCTCTGTGAGTTGTGTCTTTTATTTCTCTTTTACGGCTTTGATCTCTGTTTTCCTACCGGTTTGATGTTGCTGTTACTCTGAATGCATCACTCTCTTCTTAACTTCAAAAGGGTTCTGCGTGCTTAATGTTAAGATGTAGGTATTTTTCTGTTTTGACAAAAAAGAGTATGTGTGATGGATCGAACATGCGTTGAAATATGCGTTGTAAATCTTAATCTGTGTGTTCATGATTATAATCCCATTTGGGAATGGGCTATCTCTGTCATATTAATGAGACAAGGTTAGTGTGGGGTGTGCGTTGAGCTAGTCTTGTTTGAGATATGAAGGAGATTAAACAAGTAATAGAAGGAGAGGTGAGGTAAGTGTGTTAGGCCGGGTTGACTAGAAAACCAACTCCAGTGACACTCATCTATGTGTAAGAAAGAGCTTTATATCAAGAAGTCATTGTGTATTGCAAAAGCACCCCAGGCCAGTCCAACTCAAGCCTCTAAGTCTGATCCTAGTCCATCAGTCCCTCTTCAGACTCACGCAGTCACAAGCAATGATGCCGAATGCAGGAAGATCACTGGCCAGTGGGTGAAAAGTCTTGTGGATCCAATGGCGGGGGACATATCTCCAGGGCTCTGGCAAGTCTCAGAGTGCTCCCTGGCATCAAGGTGTAGGCAGAGAGACAGAGGGGCTGGCCTCCTGAGAGCCATTTATCTCAGTGGCACCTCCAAAGGAGGTCATTAAGCTGCGACCTGATTGACAGCCTAAACTCCACCCACATCTTGGCACAAACAGCCTAACTATCACAGTAAGGTCGATGCCAGGACACAGGAGGTCTTCAAGGAACTAGGAAGCAGAAGGCGAAGAGACCAGGACCTTTCCCCAAGCCGACAGAGGAGAAAATCTTTCCCTTGCCCAGGTGCTCTGAAGTCAGACTTGTAGCCTCAACAGAGGCTAAAAGTTAAAGCTGCCTGAGATAACCAAGGTGGTCCACGAGAGACGATTCTGGGGCAGCAAAGTGCCCATTATGTTTATTTTCCAATGTACAGGAAATCTGTCATTTCTCCTACTTTGGTAAGGAAATTCATTATAAGAAATTTTGTTAGCGTGGTCTTAATTACAGCCTTATCCATTTCCTCATTCAGGTTAATCCTTGTTTCTATTATTTTACTAAGTATAAAGTAAAAATAATCTTTGAGGCCTGTCTACAAAGCCATATCAGTCCACGTTTACATATGGCAAAAACAATCGTGCTCATGAGGATGAGACTGTAGCACATGCGGAAGGATAACTCCCCTTGCCTAGTTTTTTAAACTGTGAGTAGCAGTGCCTCCTACCCACTGTTGTGGGTCCCTTTGGGTCCCGGGAGACTGCATCAGATGGTGGAACTGTTGTGAGGTTGTTGACAGACTGTCGATCTTTAAGAAAGCAGGCTGCTTTCTCTGGTTAGCAGCCAAACGGTTAACCTGTTGTGCCCTCTGGGCCCCTAGTGTTTCAGGATTTGGTGGTGGGTGCTGTGTGGACGGCTCTGTCCTGGAGAGAAAAATGGGCTTGGCCATGGGCCAGCTTTCACAGCTGCAAGGAGCTGAAACACCAAACCAGGGCCCCCGAGTCCACTTGAACTCAGTGACCTTCTAGGACAGAGTGGAACGGCTTCATCTGGTTCCTAAGGCTCAGTCTTTACGGGAGCTGGCAGCCTTAACCTTCTCCCATGGAGCAGCTGGTGGGTTTGAACCACTGACCTTGTGCTTAGCAGCCCAACATATCCCTCACTACGCAACCTGACCTCCGAAGGCAGGTGCGTACGTGGCAAGGACAAATTACCGCCGAGAACATTATGAATACACTGTAATAGAGAAGTGTGAGGGAGAATGATTTTTTAAAAGAAAACAATATATGACAGGCTGAGAAAATATAGCACATGCCTCTGAGCACCTGCTCCAGGACACGCGTGTGCACATGTTTCTGTAGTATTCCTACTGCCGACTTTGAGGGAGATGGGAAGGAGTGGACAGCCAAGACGTACCAGAGCGGGCAGAGTTAGCGATTTCTGGACACAGTCTAGGTCTCAGCATTGAGGGCAGGAATTATGTGGCTAGACCTGTCATCCCTGAAACTGCTGCCTCTGAGGTTCATAACGCCACAGTTCTCATGTCTAGCCATGGCCTCCCTCCCCTCCACTGCTCCTCCTCATTCTTTTTTCCTGCCTCTCCTTTGACGTCTTTCAGCCCGCATATCTGGCCCCTTCCTCGTCTCTGTCTCTGAGAGTAGTGCCGGGTCCACTTCAGGTCCATTACTGCATCTGGCAGCCAGACATTTCCATCAAACTTGTTCCTAGGATGTAGTACGCACACAGAAAAGTGCTTAAATTATAAACACACTGCTTGGTGAGCGTCTACAAACTGAATGTCATGTAATCAGCAATCAGATGAAGAAATCTGTAGCACCCTCGAAAGATCCTCTACGGCAGCGGTTCTCAACGACCCCTTTGGGGGTCGAACGACCCTTTCACAGGGGTCGCCCGATTCCTAACAGTAGCAAAATGACAGTGCTGAAGTAGCAACGCAAATAATTTTATGGTTGGGGGGTCACCACCACATGAGGAACTGTATGAAAGGGTCGCGGCATGAGGAAAGTGGAGAACCACTGCTCTAGTGCCCGCTTCAGTGCCCGGTCCTAGGGAATCCCTGTGTTAACTATGACCGTCCCTGCTTACTTTGCCTGTTTGGACGCTATAAACATTGCATGTACTCCGAGGATCCGGCTGATGTCCATCAGCATTATGTTTTTAGATCGCTCCCTGTTTTGGTGTGTACTTGCTTATTCATTCTCATTGCAGTACAGGATCTTGTACGAACACATCAGTAGTTTCTCATTGTGCTGTTGCTGGCCTGTGGGTAGTGTTGTTGATTCTGGCTACCACAAAACGTGCTCTTGTGAGTATGCTTGTCCGTGTCCTGTGGTGGGTATGCACCCACACAGACACTCGTTTCTGCTGGTTACAGACCTGGGAGGAAAGTGGCTAAATCTTTCCACCTGGGTTGGGTCGGTAGCTACCTTCTGCCACAGTTTTTCAGAGTGGTCACATTAATAAATACTTAGAGTAGCAGTAGAAAAGTGCTGCAAAATGTCTGTGGGAAAATGGAGTTAAAAAGCAGTAGAATTTCTCCATGAACTTTTTGAAGTCCTCACATACTTGAGTGTTCCAATTACCGTATCTTTCCCAACTCTTGATATTCTCTGCCCTTTTACTTTACCCCTTTGACCTCATAGACATAGTGGCTTCATCATGATTTTATATTTAATTTCCCTGAAAACTGATGAAGATGAGCCCCTTGATAGGTTGTGGTCATTTGGATCTCTCTTTTGTGAATTGCCTTTTTGTTTTATTATTTTAACTTATGAACTAGCTAATATTTGATAGGATTATGTGGACCAGTAGTTCCCAAAACAGGGGAGTCTGCCCCTGGGAGATACTGGAATGATACAGGGGCTGCAAAACCAGTTAGCTACCTTTCTCCCAGATTATGGCTATCATAAAAAAGTTTTTAATTGTGTGTGTGGAGGAGCTGAGTCTCTTTTTTAGTCTGAAAAAGGGGCGGTAGGCTAATAAGTTTCAGAACCTATGGTGTAGACTTTATATATTTATTTGGAGAACTCTTTACTATGTAGCCAACAATCTAATTATTTTCCAGCCAATAATTTTAAATTCAGTCTTATTAAAATCACCAGTTCTCTTTCTATCCCTCACTTTTTCTTTCATCTGCCCTATCAGCCCAACTGTGATTTAACTTGAGTCATTCTGTTTTCTAGGATTTTGTTCCCAGGCTGCTTAAGAAAATCAAATAAGGATCCAACCAACCCTCATAGTTAAAACCTTGGCACTGTTGTGCAGTACTTATTCCTGAGTTATTTCCCCCGCCTTTTCATAGAGCACATGTTCCAATCTTCAGTGGCTCCCAAGTAACACAGCTTCTCCTTGCCAGTCCTAACCCCGTTCTTACCAGAATTCTATGTGCAGAGATCTGGAGAACTGTAGAAATATGGGCCCACATCTCATGAGAAGTGTTGAAGCTGAGGACATGCATGTGAAGGTCATTAGCCTGACATGGTCCTTGAAGCCATAGGTCTGGCTGAGCTGTCATGTGGAGGAAGTACATGATGTAGGTAGAAGAGAGCTCAGAGTGGAATCCTGGGGAGCAGCAGTGGCAGGTTAAGGTTGACCAGGGCAGCGGAGACCGTAGCTGATGAGAGGCCATATCAGCTGGAGGAAAGAAATAGACTGGAAACTAAGGGAAGGGGACATTTCCAGTAGTAGAAACTGGCCAATAATATGCATTGACGCATAGGAACAAAAGCATGCTAGCCGAAAGTAGGCCAGTGGATTTGGCTGGTAACTTGGGAAGTCTGCCTCCGTGGATTTTGGAGACCGTGTAGAGCTCTCCCCCAACCAGGTTGAGTTAAACGGTAAGGCAGAAGGTAGTCTAGCTCAGCAGTTGGCAAACTGTGGCTCACAAGCCACATGGAGCTCTGCAGTGAAATTTAAGGAATGTTATTTAGATCATGGTGATTTCATTTGTTTGTCAAAATATCTTTATGGCTCTCTAATAATTTTTGAATTGTTGTGAGGGACAGGGTCGGCTCTTCCGTCTCACAAGTTTGCCGACCCCTGGGCTAGCTGAAAGAGAAGGTAAGGTTAGAGCACTCTTCCTCACGGTCTCTCACCCAGAATCAACATGTACGGTCTGCTCTCCCTCTGCTTCCTTATCTGGAAACCTTGGCATCTTTTTTGATTTTTCTTCTACCTCTCCTTCTCCCCACTCCCTCCCCAAATGTTAACCAAGAACTTTTGGTTTTGTCTCAGGACCGTCTTTCTTTCATCTCTCCTCCTCTCACGCTGCTCCATTAGGTGCACTCTCCTTTAATACGCTCACAGCTCTTTGACTGGTCCACATTAGCTTCCTGCCATCACTCTCTCCCTTTATATTGCCCAGTTGCTCTTTCTAAGATATGGCTCCCATCGGGTCAGACTTCTTAAAGAACTCGGTTGACTTCTGCTTATGGGCCCTGGTGGCGCTGTCAGGTAAGCTTTGAGCTGGTACCTGAAAGTGAGGTCAGTGGTTCGAATGCACCGGCTGCTCCACAGAAGAGGGGCATGGCAGTGGGCTTCCATAAAGGTTTGAGCTGTGGAAACATTAGGAGCTCATTCTGTTCTGGCCCCAGAGAGTGGCTGTGAGTCGGAAAACCTGTGCCAGTGGAGGACATTGTGTGTGTGTGTGTGTGTGTGTGTGTGTGTGACTTTGTACTAGGCACCTGTGATGGTAGGTTTTATTGTGCCAACCTGGCCAATAAGAACATGTGGGATTAATCAGGTCTCAGTTTGATTAGAGGGCAAAGAGATAAATGGCTTTGAAAGGCCCACCCCCCTCTCTCACTCTCTGGTGATTGGACCAGCATGCTGCCGCTTTAGCTAGTTCTTTGCCTCAACCTATGAACTACACTACCTGCGGGCCAAGCCAACCTGTGGATCATGTTGCTAAAGCTTGAGGCTCCTTTGAGATCTGCTTCACCACATTGCTGGGATCTCCCTAAAGGACAGTGATAAAGAGAAATCCTCCTAATGGGCAGAACTTGGAGCAGTGCGCCTAGCCATTCAGTTTGCCTAGAAGGAGAAATGGCCAAATGTGAGATTGTATACTGATTCATAGGCTGTGGCTAATGGCTTGGCTGGATGGTCAGGGAATTGGAAGGAACACGATTGGAAAATTGGTGACAAGGAGGTGTGGAGAACAGGTATGTGGATAGACCTCTGAATGGGCCAAGAGTATAAAGATAATAATGTCTCATGTGAATGCTTACCAACGGGTTACTTCTGAAGAGGAGGACTTTAACAATCAAGTGGATAAGATGACATGCACTGTGGGGACTGGTCCTCCTCTTTCCTCTACCCTCCTCTTTCCTCATTGCCCAATGGACACATGAAAAAGTAGACATGGTGGCGGGGATGGAGGTTATTCACAGGCGCAGCAACATGGACTTCCACTCACCAAGGCTGATTTGGCCACTGCAACTGCTGAGTGCCCCATTTGCCAGCAGCAGAAGCCAGCATTGAGTCCAAGATATGGGAACATTCCTTGGGGAGATCAACCAGCAACCTGGTGGCAAGTTGATTACATAGGACCACTTCCATCATAGAGGGGGCGGCGTTTTGTTCTTACTGGAATAGACACCTACTCTGGATGTGAATTTGCCTTCCCTGCATGCAATGTTTCTGCCAAAACTACCACTTGTGGACTTACAGAATGTCTTATCCACCAGCATGGCATCCTACATAGCATTGCTTCTGATCAAGGAATTCACTTCACAGCAGATGAAGTGCAGCAATGGGCCCATGCCCATGGAATCCATTGGTCGTATCTGTTCCTCATCATCCCCAAGCAGCTGGCTTGATAGAACAATGGAATGGCTTCCTAAAGACACAAATATGGTGCGAGGTAGGTGGCAACACCTTGCAGGGCTGGGGCAATGTTCTCCAGGAGGCTGTATACGCCCTAAACCAGCGGCTAATATATGGTGCTCTGTCTCCAATAGCCAGAATTCATGGGTCCAGGAATCAAGGGGTGGAAGCTGGAGTGGCACCACTCACTATTACTCCTAGTGATCCACTTGCAGCATTTTAGCTTCCTGTCCCAGCAACCCTATGTTCTTAAGACTGGAGGTCCTGGTCCCAAAGGAAGGAACTCTCCCACCAGGAAACACAGCACTGAACTGGCAGCTGAGAAGGCCCCTGGCCACTTTGAACTCCTCATGCCTTTGGATCAACAGGTCAGGAAGGGTGTCACTGTACTGAGTGGTGTGATTGATCCTGATTACCCAGGAGAAATTGGGTTGGTGCTATATAATGGAGATAAAGAAGAATATGTCTGGAATCCAGGAGATCTCTTAGGCTGTCTCTTAGTACTACCATGCCTGGTGATTAAATCAAATGGTAACCTACAGCAACTCAATCCTGACAGTAACTACCAGCCTCAAACTCAAGCGATGTCTGATGTACATATGTTGAAGCAGGTCTTGAAGGAGCCTCAAGCTCTGGCAACACGATCCACGGGTTGGCTTGGCCCACAGTTAGTGTAGCTCACAGTTTGAGGCAGAAAACTAGCCAAAGCAGCAGCATGCTGGTCCAATCACTGGAGAGTAAGAGAGAGGAGGGCGGGCCTTGCAGAGCCATTTATCTTTTTGCCCTCCAATCAAACTGGGACCGGATTAATCCCATATGTTCCTATTGACCAGGTTGGTACAATAAACCTAACTAATTACAGCACTGTACTGAGATACAGTGGTACATGGGTTAGATCTTGGCCCTGGGTCACCTCGCTTAGTGGACTAAAGGCTTTTAATCGTTTGGGTCTCAGCTTCTTTTCTTGGAGCTCATTTGCCACTCCTATACTTGTGGATTCCAGCCATCGCAGCCACCTTCCTTTTCCACAGGCAGAATGCCCAGTGTGCAGTCCCTTCCTCCGCCCACGTGGTTCCCCACCCAAAGGCCTTTCTCCTGGCAGCTTGTTAGACTTCATGGCATTCCCTTTCTTCCTGTAGCCACCGGCTTTTGTCAAATCATAACCATCTCTGGGGAGGTGGACTCTGAAATACTCAACAGCAGCGGTTCTCAACCTGTGGGTCGTGACCCCTTTGGGGGTCGTATGACCCTTTCAGAAGAGTCGCCTAAGACCATCAGAAAACACATATTTCTGATGGTCTTAAGAACCGAGACACCGCTCCTGTCTCCAGGCGGGTCCGCCCACAATCAGATAATGCTGATCCGGTGAGAAAATAGCTATCTCAACCTTCGCACTGACGTCGGCTTTTTAGGCATACTGTCACAAAATGTAGCAATGTAGTGTACTGTTGTTATATTAAGACACCCATGCTGCACCATGCATCAAGACAAAATTTCATTTATTTGTAATTAGAAATAAATATTTCACAATACATAATTACATATTGTTTTGGTGATGAATCACTATGCTTTAATGATGTTCAGTGTGTAACAATGAAAATACATCCTGCATATCAGATATTTACATGATGATTCATAACAGTAGCAAAATGACAGTGATGAAGTAGCAGTGAAAAAGATATGACAAAATAATAATAATTTATAAATTGTCTAGGGTCCGTGAAGGAGGGGGAGCGGGGAGGGAGGGAAAAAAATGAGGACCTGATACCAAGGGCTCAAGTAGAAAGCAAATGTTTTGAGAATGATGATGACAACAAATGTACACATGTGCTTGACACAATGGGTGTATGTATGGATTGTGATAAGAGTTGTATAAGCCCCAAATAAAATGATTTCGAAAAATAGAAAATAATTTTCTGGTTGGGGGTCACCAGAACATGAGGCACTGTATGAAAGGGTGGCAGCTTGAGGAAGGTGGAGAACCACTGCTCTCCAGCTACGAACCATCTGTGTACCTGCCTCTGCTCTCTGTGGCTAGAAGAAAAGTTGTTGGCAGGGAGAGAGCGATGTCCGTGTAGGGCTGACATTCCATTCTGGTGATTCTGCACGGCATTTCCTTGGCCAGGGAGAATAAGGAGGAACACTGGCCATGAGCATGCGTGTTCTGGAGAAACCCAGCATCCCTCGCGGACGTTCCTCCCAGAGTATTGGCGCTGTGTTGATCCACATGCTTCCCTTTTAGACTGATGATGAAGATGAGTCTTTTGTGCTGGAAGATCCTACATTGTTAAACATCGACACTATTGATTCTCACTCCTACGATACCTCCTCTGTGGCAAGCTCAGACAGTGGCGATAGGACCAACCTAAAGAGGTAAATGCACGGGGAAACCCAAGCACCACACGGTCTTCTGAAATGTCACAGTCTCCGGGTATACTGTGGTCTGCGGGAGCCTGCGATGGGAAGTACAGCGCCCCCTTGGGTGGAAAGAAGAAGATATTCAGATCCCAAATGGTTGTGGCACTGCTGAGGGTGAGGCTAGAAAGGCCAGGGCCATGGCCACAGTCGTGTGGGCCAGCAGTCTGCCGCCAAGCAGGTGAAGCCAGGTGATGCCTGGGAGCACACACACACCCGGGCAGCCTGCAGGGTCTGTGTGGACACCCGGAGCTCGGCTTACCTCGCTCGCTCTGTTTCTTGCACCCGCACCCCTCTCCCAGCCCACGATCAACTCCAGCATGCCCTCATTCCCTTGGAGTGGGTTCAGAGGAGAGTCACCAAGATGATTAAAGGTCTGGGAAAAGGACTTCTAACCCTAAGTAACTCCATTTTGGCTGCTTTTCACCTTCTGAATTCTTGGAGAGAACATGAAAAGGAAAGAGAAGTGGGGGAAGCATCATGTACACACTTTATTGGATTCATGTGTGACTTCAACGGTGCTAGAGCTGTCTGTATGTTTCCTGCCTTTTAAAATTTCACCACTAGCAATGCCGCCTCCTTGGGTTGTCAACCCTTGTGGGCTAGTGGCCGTTGCTGGCGTGCTAACTGAGGCATCCCAGTGCTCTATAGATAGATGTGTTGTTTGGATGTCGTGGGCACTGTGCTTCAAAGGCAATAACTTCTGCTTGCTGCCTCCACAGCAAAGGCACAATGTCGGTCCTGGCATCCCTCGGGTCCCCGCTTATTATCTCTAAGCAGTACCCCGCTCCCCCAGCCCTCTCAGTCCCTGCCTTTTGTGTTTTCCTGGCCCCCAGACACACAGGCATCTTCACTCCTTCCTGTTTTCTGCCCACACCTTTTTGTGGCCCGTTTGCTCTGTGGTCCTCCTTCAGGGCCACATGCAGACCCCTTCCTTTCCTGTAATTGCCCCCAGTATCCTATAAACAGAACTGAACTTCTCTTCACCTGTGTGTCTGCAGCACATACAGTTACACGTCTGGCCTAGCATCGGCCCTGGAAAGATTCCTGACTCGCCAGTCCTGCTGGCTAGGCACCGCGTTCCTCAAGACACCCTTACCCTTAGCATACTTTAATTGGGGCCCGGGAATGCTTGGTGACCGTTTGAAAATGGAAAGTGAGGTCCCTGAAAGGAGCCGTCAGTAGAGAGTGACAGGGGGATGTGGAAGGGGAGAGTGAGGCGTGCTGGCAGGTGGCTGAAGAAGAGGAAGGCTCGAGGCAGGAGAAGGCAAGGAGGGTGGGAAGTCCTGTAGCTGTGGGGCCGTGCGTGCTGCTTTGGCCACGCTGAGGAGTCGTATAGCATTGGTGTCTTTCCGCAGGGGGACAAGGACCTGTGTGAAGCAGGGGAAAGGAAGGGCAGTTTATCCTCCACTGTCTGGCTTTTGCTTTTCTGGGGTTCAAGGCGGGTTTAGTAGAACATGAGAGTGTAGGACTGTTAGACTCTGTACGCCTTTTCAGAACAGAGCTAACAAATTACACGTGGCTTTTCGTATTTTATGTGTTCTGTTCTTTCCAAGTGTGGGGACTCTGCCTCTTCAGGCCTTTTTTTTTTGGGGGGGGGGAGGGGGTCTCTTCTTACCTGGTTTCCTTTTTCCCTTTCTTAATAGGAAGAAGAAATTACCTGATAATTTTTCTCTCCATGGATCAGTGATGCGGCATTCACTTCTGAAGGGAATTTCTGCCCAGATCGTGTCTGCAGCTGTAAGTGTTTTGTTCTCGTCCCGGCTTTACAGCCCACAATGGCATCACGAGGCAGGAACCAGCATACAACAAAGCGCAGCACTGCTTGGGGCCCAGGTGTAGGAACAATAGCATCTGCCTTTCCTGGCCCTCGTGTGCTTGCGTTAGCTCTGAAGACCACCCCCGCGGCTCCACACGTGGACGTGGAAATGCGTGCGACTCTGAAGGTCGAGGTCTGCCCAGCCCCTCAGGTGCGCCTCAATGCAGCATGGCAGCCGGCTGATGAGGAGCACGAGTTGGACATGGAAACCCCTTCTCGGTCTGGTTGCCATCCCGGGTATTGGGTTTATAGGCAGAGTGCCTTTCTGTTGCTTTTTTTCATGTGGAGAAAGAATTGAAAGCGTTTTACAGTTCAACAAAATACCTTATCTTAATTACCTTTACAGCTTTGAAGGCAGGGGAAGCATATCCAGGAAGGCGATATTAACTTGTCCAAAGGCACCTGAAGGTCGCAGAGCCGAAATGCAAAATCGGTCTTTCTGGCTCCAGCCCTGGCTTTGCTTTGTTGTGGAAGGGACGGGCATTGGTGCATGTGGCCAAGGTGCAATTACTGGGAGAGCACTTTGGGGGCTTTTTTTGGATAATGCCTCAGGAGCCTGGGTTGAAGAAAAGAAGTACGTAACAGTTCATCAAGACCATAGACAATGATTCTGGTGTGTTTCTGTCGAACTTTCCCTTTGATCTGAAAGCCCATCGATGTAGGGAAAAAAATTTTTTATTGAGTTTTCGATGCAAGTTTCCACAGCAAATTAGGTTCCCCCTCACAGTGTTTACACAAACCATCCCGTGGCAGTGGCTGCAGCATTCACAATGCCAGCATTCTCCTTAACTCCGTCCTGCGTGTTCTCTCTCAGAACCCCTGGTTTATGTAGTCTTTTCATGTCAGCTTTCTGAACTCAGTCGACAGCCCCTGCTTCTACTGACCACGACAGCCCCCTACGCCAGGAATGTCCGTGTGCTTGCTTTTGTTCCTTTCCGGGGAGGAGCGTAAGGGAGGTGTGTGTTTTCAATTTGGACAAGAGCTAAAGGCTATGATTTCCTTTTAAGAAGGTGAGAGAATGATGCAGGAGTGGTATGATGACCCCCGAGCCACATTGCATTGGCATGTTTACCAGTGAGGGCTGTGGTGGCTGACACCATTCCAAGACAAACCCCGCCCCCCAAGGAAAACAGCTCCCCCATCCAAAAAAAAGAAATATCAGTCTGTGCTCATTTTGGGGAGTTGGTATATCCTGATCCAGCTTGTGCATCATGAAGTCATTTGAAACAGCGAGATGCCCGAGCCATGCAGGCAGCCCGAGCAATTGCCCTCCCCTTTCCGTGGAATGGGAACCACCTGTGGAGGATTACATTTCCATGACGTTTTCTGAATCTAATCCGTATGTAGGTGATGAAATTCATTCCTTTCACAATCAAGATGAACCAGAGCAACCATTTGACCCACCTGTGCCATTTTAAAAATATTTTGAATAATAGAGACTGAACTAAAACTCAGACACTGAGCAATGATTAGATAAATCTGTTATTTAAAAGGGTTTCTCCTCCCTCTTGAAATTCTAATAAATCCCAGAGTGTCTGCATTCGGTTCTTATTTTAGTGCTATGGCTGAGCTCCGTTGGTATGTTCCAATGAAAACCGCTGTTCCTGTGACAGTCATCTGGGCCTTCCTAACCTTGGATTACCAGCTCAATTTAAACTGCATGCTTTCCTTGTGATGGTTGGTTTAGTAACATGTAAAGCTGGTTACATTTCTGGGTATCTCTCCTGGATAGTCATTCCCTAGTGCCTTCAGCAGCGTGCAGAGTGAGGCTGTAGGGCTGCCCAGGGCCTTGATTAGCTTGGGAGTCCATGCATGGAAAACACTGAGGAGCAATGATGCTTTGGGAGTTACATCTGATTGTTTATATTTGGGACACTCCTCAAAGTAATAGGACATGCGACTGTATTTTAAATTAATGCAAGTTAAGGATCTTCGTCATTTTTTTATGACCAACCTCAGATTATTAGAGATGCTCTTGGACAGTGTTTTGTTTTTCAAAGTGTGTCCACAGCATAAGAATCTCCTAGGATAAGCTTACTGTAAGGCAGATTCAGGGCACCACTCTGGACTCACTGAGCCTAAATCTCTGGCAGTGTGGTCGTCGGGGGCCCTGCATGTTGACTGGCACCCCCCTCTGGATTTTGAGCCCCGCTACCTCACGGTGTCGCAGCAGCAGCAGTGCAGGTTCTGGCTTATGGGGGCTCTGTTCTGATGCTTCTGACTGAAGTTGGTTCTGATGTAAGTTGAATACCTCTTTTAATTGTAAGATTTTTTTTCAATCGTCCCTGCCATGTTGTCCGTGCCATTATATGTAAACCCACAGATGAGTTTTAACATTGAATGTAGTAGCTATATACTAATAAGACTAACCTGAATATGTCGTAAGTTAAGGACGGTGTATAATAAAATTCTGTAATGTCTAGAAGCTGTACGCATTTTTTCTTTTCTTTTTTCTTTTTTTTTTTTAGGCTTTTGAAGTCAGCTGACTTCAATTTCTCCAGTCAGGTTCCGTTTTGGATATAATTGATGCGCTTCATCTGTTGACCCCTCTTTTCCCTGCCTGTGACACAGCTCAATCAGTTAGCAAATATTTATTGCATATTCCTTAATTGTGAAGCCTGGGGTTATGGCTGCTGTAGGCCACACACAGTCGGGCTGTGCTGCTGCCCGGAACGTTGCCTTGAGCAGCCTTGGCCTATGTTCTTTGTTGTTTGACCAGGCACTACAGTGAGTTTCTTTAGTTTCTGAGAAACTCTATAAAGATGGTTACATAGACTTAGATTCTGCCTTCGAGCAGATTATAGTCCCTCACTGACCACCTTGATAAGGACAGGACAGGCACAGAAAAGGTGTTGCAGTGACAAAACGAGTGCTGGCCTAGGCGCTGGGCCTGACTTTGAGACATCATTTGACCATGTACTGGGTAACTCTAGTTACATCAGTGAAGCTCTTTGAAACTACCGCTTCTTAATCTGGAAAATGAGAATAATACCCCTTGTTTGTTCCCTCTCTCGTGCTCTCTCTGGGTTTGAGTGTTAAATGGTATAATAAGTATATATGAAAGCTCTTTGTTATATAGTATTATATATATCATTATAAGCTGTTATCATTTACAGCTATGTCCTTACATTTATGTGATAATGATGTAAGTTAAGGATTCTCGGTGGTGCAGTGGTTAAGCGCTCAACCGCTAACTGAACAGTGAGTGGTTCAAACTCACCAGCTGCTCCATGAGACAAGGCGAGCCCCCCCGGAAAGGTGTCCTGCCTGGGAGTCCCTATGGGGAAGTTCACTGGCGTTCTGTAGGGTCACTGTGAGTTCAAATGGACTCGACAGCCATGGAGTTTGGGGCTGTTACTAGTTGTCCAGTTGATTCCTCTTCGCCATGACCCCGGATGCGAGTAGAACTGCTCGGAAGGGTTTTCAAGGCCATGGTCGTTCGGAAGCAGGGTGCTAGGTCTGTCTTCTGAAGCACCTCCGGGTGGGCTCGACCCCTCAGCCTTTGTCGAGTGTTCTAGGCCTGCTTACCTATGCGTGCCACCAGAAGGCTCCCTGCATTGGTATGACACTTCACATTTAACCCGTCCTCCCGACAACCCAGTGAGGTAGAGCAAGCAGTGTTTGCTGTTTCTTTGAACATTTGGAGAAGGCAACTTTCCCAAGGTCCTACAGCAAGCAGTTGGAAGGAGGTTGGGCTGGCACTTCATTTCTGACTCCCGGACGCATCCCCAGCTTGAACGGACGGAACCAACTTAGGTGGGGCTTTCGGGAGAGATCTTTTGGATTGAGAGCTCCTCCTTAGGGGAAGGACATCACTAGAAGGTTCCCTAAAGGTCACCGTTGTCATGCCTACCATTTTGAAAATAAAACTTTAATTTGTTCTCTTTTACATTTCCACATGCTATCCTTCCTGAAATAAGTGCAGCCATTAGTAGACTACAAGTGACGGCCTCCCCCGCTCTGTATTTGTTGGTACATATGACTGTTGTAATTTTTCTTACTTGGGAACAGAATATATCTTCTAAAATCCCTCTTTTTAAATTTCTCAACTTCATTTAGGACAAAGTAGATGCTGGCTTGCCTACAGCAATTGTAAGTATACTTTAAATAACCTCTTTTAAAAAAGCTTTTTATTTTACAGGGTTTTCTTAGGTTATCCTCATAATGTTTCAAGTTATTACATAAATTATTGAGATAGTAAACTCATGGGTCATTTTCCCTGCCAGTAATCAAGTTTAAAATGTATCCCTTCCCCCTCCCCCCCTAGTCTATTATTACCCTTTAGGCTTTTGTTTGAGAGGCAGATAATGGACTAAGACTCGATTTTTTGGCTTAATATGGATGTGGTACCACTCTGCACCTCCTGGAGGTGACTTGTCCTCCGCTCCGTTCTAGGAAGTGGAAAATAGCATTTGGCTAAACCACTCTGGGAAATAGTACGTTGGATAGCCCTGGGCTCCATTGCCAAACCTGCCCAACATGAATCTCTGGCGTGATTATCGAGAACTGGAGGATACGGACAACTCTCTTTTTCTCATCTTCCTCCAGCTGCTTCCTGTAGTCGCTTAGTAGTCAGTCTTTTGGTGAGGAAATGGCCTGGATTTTGAACATTTCAGGTGCCTCTTGGCCTCTGCATAAACTGGAAAAGCGTTTCTCATCGCTTCATCACAGCTTACTGGGATCTCTTAGGGGAGCAATAAGTGCCGTCAACTTGATCTCAGCTTTCGAGTTTTCTTTTCCTTTTAGTTGCCTTAGAGGAAGCTAAGTGGCATGTATTTGCGTATAATATCGAACATATGATACTTTGACATTGTTACCCTTAGAGTAAATTTAGAAGGATTCCCAGAAATAAAATATTCTGAGTCTCATTTCCCCTTTCGCCTCCTAGATGAAATTGTCCCTATTTAAAGTAGTTGGTATGCCATCTGGTGCTTAGAGGAAGCAAGACCGAAATATTCAGCTGTGATTACTTCAAGGTCCTGGATGTACTATCTTAAAAATGTTATCTTCCATTTTGTTCCCAGGCAGTGTCCAGTCTGATAGCAGTCGGTACCTCCCATGGATTGGCTTTAATATTTGGTAACTATTTAAAGTACTTTCCTAATTTCAATTGTTAATCCTCTGAGTGTTATAATGTTCTTTAACCATAGTGTATAAAGTGTACTTTCTGCTGGAGCAAAACCAGGGAAAGGCTGAAAAGGAACAGGCAACAGCTCGACACAGTTAAAAATGATTGGACTCAAGCTTCCTTGTGTTTCCTGTTGTGAGGTCATTGTCTTCATCATGAACGCTAGGCTCTCAGATCTCCTCGCAGACCTGGAAAAAAGCAACAGAGAGCTAAAAGGAACCTGGCCTTTGGTCTTATCTGTCTGTTGACACTAAATCAGACCTGACTCATGGGTTTTCCTAGAAGATCTTTAGGGAACGATTTTTCAGATGAAGTTCCGTTTCAGTGAGGAATATTGTGGCAGGATTCCTTGAGGCTACTTTGATCAAAGAATCACAGCTTGGTTTCTGTGGGCCTTGCTTGTTGTTTATGACATGAATAATTTTCCATAGATTTTGAACAACTTGACTCACTATTTATGAATTCTCTGTTATGTCAAAAATCTTCATTTAACATGATTTTAATACCTTGTATTTGAAAAGGTTTAGATTTAGATAATAGAGTTTTATCACGTGGGTTCCAGAAAAGTGGAGAAAGAGATAAAATGATAAAGTTACGGACAAGTAACAAGTTTAGAATCGATTTCTTAAATAATACACTTTTCCTTATGGTTGATATGTGTTCATAATAAAAATTTAGACAATATAGCGGAATAAGAAGCTGTATAATAGACCCTAAATTTTACCATCAAGGAAAACCCTCTGACATTTCTGAGTAGTCTTCTTGTCTTTTCCCCCATGCATGACTCCACATATGTACACACATTTCCATTATAACGGGCATCTTTCCATGTAATCATTTGTTTAACTATAATGTCATTTTTAATGACTTTTGGACATTTGGGTTGTTTCTAAAACAGTAGCTTGATGTTACTGAATCCTTTGTGCACCCGATTGCTTCCTTAGGACACGTTCCTAGGACTGGAATTGCTTGGGCCAGACTTTAATATGTCCTGCATACTTCCCCTCAAGAAAAGTTTTGTAAGCCTGCCCTCCTGTCACTTGTAGGAATGCTTGTTCCCCTGTTGGGCATAATTGGATATTAGATGGACTGAATTTTGGAAAAGAAGCTTAGAATATCTCTTGGTTCAGTCTTCTTATTTGATATATGGGAAAACAGCACTGGGGCGGTTGTACAGAAAGAGTCAAGACAAAATGTACAGAGTCAAGGTCAGGATCAAGAATACTGAATCGTAGATCGCCACCATGCTAAACAAGAGGAGGCAGACTACAAAATAAATGAAGAGATGAATGGAGGCACAGAGGTCAATGAAGACAGGATGGAATGCAGGCCTTTCTCTGGCAGCAGAGGGCATGTGGATGTTTGGGTTCCTGCTCAACACCGCTCACTTTCTTTAACCCCCTTTCCTTTCACACCACGTGGTGAGAATTGTGTCTACTTACGCATAGCGCTTATTGCAAACAAATTAAAATGAATACCTGGAAAAATAAAAGCTAACAGAGGAGAAAAATACTGCGTAACTTTTTTTTGATACTGCCCATCTCTTTAATTTCCTTGGGCCTACTTGCTGATTTTTGTTCTTCAACCTAAATCACAGATTTCTTGTAGATGAAAACAGTACTGTTTTTAACTGCAGTCTCAGGACAAACCAAGTATGTCAAAGTGAACATTTTCAGGGGAAAGAAAAAAAATCACAAATATTCTGGCTGTACTTTAGATTCTAATAATGCAGCTAGTAGATTTTATTCACCATTGTTTGTAGAACTCCGATGTTTGAACAGTGTGTTTTAACATATGGACTAACAGTATGCTTGAAAGCCCAAGAACAGATGGCAGCGTACAGTAATGGGAATGTGAAGTGCCCACATTAGAGCTCTGGCTTAGATTGGGTCTCTTTCAAACATCTTTGATGATCATAGGGAAAGTGGAGCAGAAAGGACTATATTGTTTAAGTAACCTTACGTTTTCTTTGAACAGGAGGTCTAGGTCATAGTAATCATTCTAAGTGATCTTTACAGACTTCTTAAATGTTGGTCTCTGCTGCCTGTTCTCATGGCCTTACAGATACATGGCATTCCTTACATGTCTTCCCTTAGCTTTATACTTCCCTGCCATCGAGTTGACGTTGACTCATCGTGACCCTACAGGAAGGGTAGAACTGCCCCTGTGGGTTTCCGAGACTCTATATCTACGGGAGCCGAAAGCCCCATCTTCCTCCCAAGGAGCAGCTGGTGGCTTCGACTGCTGACCTGCGGGCTTGCAGCCAGTGCATAACCACCACGTCATTAGGGCTCCGTTTTACCTATATACCTCCGTACAGGGTCTTAACAGTTCCACTCCTTAGTTGTCCATTTTCATGGGCTAAGTCAGTGCCCTGGTGGGGCAGTGGGTAAGCGCGTGGCTGCTCACTGAGAGGTCAGTGGTTTGAGCCCCTCAGCCACTCAGCAGGAAGAAGCTGTGACAATCTGCTCTTGTGCCTATTACAGTGTGGAAACCCTCGGGGCCATTGCTCTCCTCTGTCCTCTAGGGTCGTTGTGGGGCTGACCTGACTCAATGGCAGTGGGTTTGAATGTGAGTGCGTGGTTAGTAGATGATCTTAGGCCATTGTTTGGTTTCTCAGGCAGTTATATTTATGGTACTGTAATGTAAAATTGTACATTCTTTTTCCCCAAATCTGAATAGAACAACCAATACTAGAGACATCTACCAATCATATTAAGTATTATTGCCGCAGATAAGTACAGCTTGTTATTTATACTCTTGAAATTTGACCTGTCTTTTTTCAGTACTTCTGGACTGATTTCTTGCTTTTCTCTCTCTCTCTTGATCTTTCTTTGATGGATTCAAAAGGAAAAGGTATAGTAATTTCAATTTGCATGAGTGGTTTCTTTCTTCTTCTTTTTTTTTCTTAACCTTTTTAATGTTGAAAGAGAATGCTATCCAATTACAGTTGATGCCCTTTTGTGAAATGCTTATTTAAAAAAAAGCCAATTTAAAAAACTAAGTCAAAGTATTGCTAGAAATTATTGGTAGTACATGTACACTTTCAATGTTGTGTTCTAACTGAGGATATGTATATTTCCCCTTCTAATTTTTGATAGCTTTTCCCAATGTGTGTGTGAGAGAGAGAGAGAGAGAGAAAGCCCAAGGCCTTTTCCTTGAGGAAATATTTGCCCATTGGAGATCTGCATCATTTTCTTTGGCATAAATTATATTAATACTGGGTCATGTAATACTTAAAGTTTTAAGGCACCTATGAAACAACCAATGAATATAAAATTCTTCTATTTGTAAAACTTTCCTCTAGCTTTTGCAGTTGTCTCACTCATAGTTACTCAATGAGTTTTTGAGAGCAGCTCGTCTTTGTGAGGCGTCCTGAGGCATCCATTCAGTTCTCATAGAAACAGTGTTGTTAGCTGACAGGGAGCGGCTTCCAGCCCATCGCAGCCCCGCACATAACAGAAGGAAGCCCTGCCCGGCCCTGCACCCTTTTCACAGTGGCTGCCATGGCTGAGCCCATTGTTGCAGCCGCTGCGTCAGTCCGTCTGTCTCGTTGAGGGCCTTCCTCTTTTCTGCTGCCCCTCCACTTTGCCAAGCATGATGTCCTTCTCCAGGGTCTGGTCTCTACTGACAACATGTCCAAAGTGCATGAAACAGAGGCTCACCATCCTTGTCCTTCTTGCAGGACAGATCGGTTGGTTCTAGTGGCAGTCCGTGGTACTTTCAGTACTCTTTCCCAGCACCATAATTCAGATGCATCAATTCTACTTTGGTCTCCCTTATTCATTGTCCAACTTTCACATGCACATGAGGCAATTGAAAATACTGTGGCTTGGGTCAGGTTGTCTAGAGAAACAAACCAATGACACTCCTACATGAATAACAACTTTATATCAAGAAGGCATTGCAGCCCAGGCCAACTCAAGACCAAGAGTCCGATACTAGTCCATAAGTCCCTTTTCAGACTCCTGTAGCCGCATGCTAGTGACACCGAATGGTGAACCGAGAAGCAGAAGATCCACAGGTGGGAGCAGGGTTGCGTCAATCCAAAGGTTGGTGGAAGCATGGCAGGGCACCGATAGCTCTCTGGGTTGGGGGTCCACATAGGGTCACTCGAGAAGGCAGACAGTCCAGAGAAGTTGCCATGAGGAGGAAGGCGAAGTACCAGAGAGAGCGTCTCTTCCTCTTGCTCTTATACACAAGCCTTGTGATGTCAAGGAAGTAGTATCAATAGGCTGTGACTTGATTGACAGGCTTAACTCCTCCCTAGCTAGGAGTGTCTAGTTGACCGAATCCCAAACTGCCACACACACCTTGGTCATAAAAGTGACATCTTTGTTCTTCAGCACTTTAAAGAAGTCTGGTGCAAAAGATTTTCCCAGTTCGATCAACACTCCATTTGATTGTTTGGACTGCTGCTTCCATGAGCATTGACTGGATCTAAGCAAAATGAAGTCTTGGAAAACTTTGATCTCTGCTCTGTTTTTCATGATGCTGTCTGCTGGTCCAGTTGTGAGGATTCAGGTTTTCTGTACGTTGGGTTGTAATCGTACTGAAGGCTGCGGTCCTTGATCTTCACTAGGGAATGCTTCACGTCCCCTTGGCTTGTAGCAAGCAAGGCTTTGCCATCTTCACATCATCTCCAGTCCCGATGCCATGCTCTTAAGTCCATCAGCATAGAGATGGAATACGTGTAGTGAAAGAATGCAACCCTGACACACACTTTTCCTGATTGATTTTAAACCAGCTCCTTACTCTGTTTGTCAAACTGCTTCTTGGTCCATGTACATGTTCTGTGTAAGCACAACAAAGTATTCTGGAATTCCTTCGTCTCAATGTTATCGTAGTTTGTTATGACCCATACAGCTGAATTCTTTTGCACAGTCAATAAAACACAAGTCAGCATGCCGAGCAGTTTTACCTTCAGTAGTTCATAACCACTTTGTATACACATTGCAGTTCCCTTACATGCCATCACTTATCCTACTTCCTTCCTGTGTTTCCTGTTTCCATTCCTCCTCCTTTCCTAACCCTCTGAACTTTGCCCCTTTGATTTAAAATGTTTGATTATACTGACACAAGGATGAGTTCATTTCTAGACCTGCAAGGTGACTAAGGACCGTAGTCTCGGGGGTTCCATCAGTCTCTGTCTGACCAGTAACCCTAGTCTCTTCTGATGTGGAGTTGAGTTCTACGTTTTCCTCTCACTGTATCCAGGACCTTCCAATGTGATCCCTTTGTGGAGCAGTGGGGAGGGTAGCCAGGCACCATCCAGTTTTTCTGGCCTCAGGCTGGTAGACGCTGAGGTTTGTGCCGCCCGTTACTCCATGGACACATTCTCTCCACGTGGCTTTCAGTTTTCATCACCCTTCTTCCCTCTGGATGGGGAGTCAGCTCCATGCTTTTAAGCACGGAATATTCTGAGAAGATCTACACTAAGCAAAATGCCCTCTGAAAGATGTCGTAATTAACGGGGTAGATATACCAGTCATTTTATGCCAACAGTGTACTCATTGAATGCTTTTTGCAAGTTTTGCAACCACACCCTCCTCTCAAGCTATTTTTCTAGCACACTATGTTAATATTTTTATAACAACATTTTAAAAATTAGCATAGAGTTCTTACGAAAATACCTTGGAGCGAGCACATGGTTGCCAAAAAATTGTGTAATGCATGTGGTATTTGTGTAAAAATGTGGCAATTCATTACAGTGTTCATGGATGTGCATTTTGCAATAACTGTGACATGTTTTCTTCATTACTAAACTACACTATCATGATTACTGGTAATCTTTTATGTCTGTACCATTGGGTATTTTTCACACTCGTGCTGTGAAATGGCCTTTCACCAACGTAAGGAGCCCTGGTGGCAAAGTGGTTAAAGCACTCAACTGCTAACTGAAAGGTGTAGGTTCTTAGCTAATGAGAGAGACAGGCTGTGGGGAGGGCTCTGACCTTCAGCTTTCCCCTTTCTGTCCTTGCTCTTTTGTTCTTGCCTTGTAGCAAGGGCATCTGTGTTTTACAGAGGCTCAGTGTATTTTGGCCAGCACTTTTCAAGGAATTGCTGAGAATGGTACAGAGCGTTGAGTTACCTTGGCAGGACGAACCTCTCCAGTAAGACTCGGCTCTTCTTGCCACAGAATGTCTGCTCTTTCTAAACCGAGTCTAAATTATAAAATAGCAAGTTGTGCCAACATAGCACCATAAAGATAGCAATAAGAATTGATAAACATCTTGGAGAAATTAAAATGGATTACGTTTTGTACCCAGTCTATTGCTTCTTCACCATCATCTGCTGCAGCTGCCTTTAAAAATATGTATATGAATGCAATGTATAAATGAATTTGTGAAGGGGCCATTTGCATTTTTGAAAGATAGTGAATTGGCTCCTTTGTGCAGTACTGATTTATTCCTCTTGCAACACATTGTGAAGCAAGAGGTATTTTCTGCATCTTCTTAGGTGAGGCGAGCAAACCTGTGAGGAATTATGGGACTCTCCCCAAATGACCTCGGCTTTGAGCTGCGGGGCTTACAACTCTGCACAACTCTCTGCAATAAGGAGGGGGATTAAAACCCAGGTGTCTGGTTTCATGGATTTAAATGAAGATCACAAACGCGTGAAAACCAAGGCACGCTTGAGAGTGCTTTCATTCACGCAGACCCGAGGGACGGGTGAGGGACGTGAGCTTCATAAACCGCTCCTGACGTCTTGACTAGCTTGCTATCCGATAGTTTGCATTTATGACAAGAGTCAAGACTCTACTAATGGACTATTTTGTGCATTAATGACGTGTGTCTGGCAGTAATGAGTGCTGGGATGGGAGGCAATGGTAATACTGGGTATGATGATTAAGGTGGTGTGTCAGTGGCTTGGCAGTTATATAGCGATACAACTTGGCGGTTACACCATTGTCATGATGTAATTTGGCAGCAGCTTAATGACGTACTCAGCCTCCAGTTTGTGATCTGATGTGGTCCTTCGCCATTTTGGCATGATGCTGATTTTTATGTATTGACCTGCTCTTTGACTTGTGACCGTGTTGATAAATGCGGAGTGGGTGCACTCATTTCAGGGGCTCCCCACGGTGATGGCCTAGCTCCCTGTCTTGGTAGCCCGTGCAGGAAAGCACGATTGCATGCGAACTTGATCTAGAAGTCAGCTGTGTCTGTCTCTCCTTGGTTTCTTTCATTGCCACTTATTTTTGTGTGTGCATATTTCCTCTTCCTAAATGATACCTTTTTCCCCTAATTGAGCCTACACTGGGACTTTAAAAAGTTCAGGGGGAATTCCAGTACCTTTCAGTTCTCATTTTCTATGAACTTTTTGAAGCCCCCTCATAGTTTAATTTTTTTAAATACTCTCATTTTAAGAACACGTTGGGCCATATGCCAGAAAGCACCTTTATGGGTTTATGGATTTCAGTGCAGGCATTAAAGGGGACCCAGGCAGTACGCTACACAGAACCTCTCTGCCTGTAGGCAGACAGCACAGACTGAGCGGCTTCTTGGTGAGACGAGCAAGACATTTCATACCAGTCTCTGTCTTTGTTCTCTGACAGACGTTCACTCCTCCTCTTGCCCATATGCATAACGCAGAGGAAGGGGGAGACAGAACATGATCGCCCCACTTCTGCATCATGACAGTTTGCAAAATAAGATAGGTGGGTAACCCACTAGTTCTTCCAAGTGGCCCTAACAAAATGAGGGTCCTGGAAAACGCTCTTTTAGGCAGAAACTTTCAGTAGAGCCAAGTAATGTGTGATGCCAAATTTAGAGAGGAAAATTAGAGACCAAAGGGAAGTTTGAACAATTGGAATGGAATTGGGGCAAAGAGGGGTATACAGAAAAGGGGCTGTCTAGGTGTATTAAACAACTACCTGCGGTTCTGCAAAACTCTCTTCAGACTCCCTGCCATGGAGTCAGTCCACGGAGTCATCCGACTCCGTGCAGGACTCTGAGACGTGAGCCGTTAAGGGAGGAGAAAGCCCAGTCTTTCTCCTTTGGAGCTGCTGGTGGTTTTGAACTGCTGACCATGAGGATTGCAGCCCAGTGTGTAACCACTTACTAGATGTGAATAAAAGTAATTCCTTTTGACATAAATCAAACCATTTACCTGAAGGAGCTTCAAAAAGCTTGTGGAAAAATAGAATTGAAAGCTAGTTGGAACACAGAAAACCCAGGACAGATGATCCCTTCAGGACCAGTGGTGAGAGTGATACTGGGAGGGTGGAGGGAAGGTGGAGTAGAAAGGGAGAACTGATTACAAGGATCTATATATAACCTCCTCCCTGGGGGATGGACAACAGAAAAGTGGGTGAAGGGAGATGTTGGGTAATGTAAGATCTGATAAACTAATAATAATTTATAAATTATCAAGGGTTCATGAGGGAGAGGGGAATGGGAAGGGAGGGGAAAATGAGGAGCTGATACCAAGGGCTCAAGTAGAAAGCAAATGTTTTGAGAATGATGATGGCAACAAATGTACAAATGTGCTTGACACAATGGATGTCTATATGGATTGTGATAAGAGTTGTATGAGCCTCCAATAAAATGATTGAAAAGAAAAGCTAGTCGGAATTAATAGGAATTTCCCTCAAACTTTTAAAAACCTCCTCGTATTTACAAGTTTTATTCTTTTTTGAATGTTTGCCCAGGGAGGCTAAACTCTTAAATGATGTTTAAAAATGTTGAATGCTTTCTCTGTGCCTGATACTATACAGCCATTAATTGTTTTAGAACTCAGAGGAGAGGAATTACTTTTTGAGCCAGTTTATGAACTCAGAAAAATTCTCTTACAGTATTCATTTTGGATCAGCAACAAGACTTAACCTATTATTGAATCTTTGACTTTGACTTGAGAATGTAAGACGTTCAGCTTTTCCTGGGGACTAGATTTACCCCTACAGAAGGAGACTCGGGCTGCTCGGCGGGGCACCAAGCTCACGGTTCGGGGTGGTGGTGGTGGTGTGTGTGAATTTCCAGGGGAGCCCTCGTACAGTGGCTTCCAGGTTGGGCTGCTACCCAAAAGGTCAACAGTTGGAAACCACCAGCCACTCCGTGGGGGAAAGAAGAGGCAGTCTGCTCCTGTAAAGAGTTACGGTTGCAGAAATCCACAGGGCCAGTGTTTCGGTGTCCTGTAGGTCACTGTGAGTCAGCATCAACTCAATGGCAGTGCGTTTGTTTTCGATTCTGTAGTCCAATAGGGAGGTAAGACATATACCAAACTCGCACGTAGGTGTCTGCGGGCGGCACAAAGATGTGCTGGAGGAATGGAGAGAAATTCAGGCTGTGGAAGTATCGTGCTTTTTTTTTTTTGCCTCCCCCCCACCCTTCCTTTTTCTCCTGAACAGTTAGTTTTTTAAGTCATGTCTTACTATATTTAAAATTTTAATTTTAAGTGTGTACAATAATGAACTCTATAAAAAGTAAACTTTGCCTAGAAGAATTTCTTTTAATTATGAGATAGTCGAGTGTATCGAATGCTTGAGTGCCTACAGGAGGTGGTTAAGCCAAGGTCTCTGCCCTTAAAGAACTTCATCTAGTAGTGATAGGAGTTAATTGGTTCTTAGTATCCAAATGATTTTGCTCGACAATAATATGCTTTAGTACAAATATTTCCGCTACAATTTTATTTGCACTCTTAATTTGCTTAGTAATTCTTTTCTTTACGAGTAATAGCAATGTAAATTTTCAGCCAGATACTAAAATAATGCATTTTGAGTTTTGAAGATTAAAAATCATTTCAAAGCTGATGGTATTCACTGATGACCTTGCATGTTTAAAATAAGACAAATGCATGTCAAGAAGGGGCAGATGAGAGCCAGTTGGTTTACTCAGGGAGAGACTGATTTCTTACGGGTTGTTTGGACTTATTATTAGCAGATTTTGTATCACGCTTCTTTGGAAATCCATGCCTCAGTGCCTTTTCTTTTTACTCCTTCTGTGGCTAATTTTGAACTCAGTGTCCTGCATCTCATAGATTCTTAATAAAAATATTTTAAAATAAACCTAACTTCACCGTCACATCTTTTCATTCTCACCACATCTCAGGGCTTTGAAAACACGTAAGATCTGTGTTCATTAATTATCATGATTAATTGTCTTCCAGTTCTTCATTTGACGTACACAACTTTCTCTAGATCAGAACCAGGCTTTGCGACTCTGTCTGGGGAGCACCAGTGTTGGGGGTCAGTACGGGGCCATCTCCGCCCTCAGTATCAACAGTGACTGCTCACGGCTGCTGTGTGGCTTTGCCAAAGGGCAGGTAAGATGGGAGCATCCTTTGATCCATGCGATAATGTTAAAATCAAAGAAAAAGCATTCAGTGTCTCTGGATCAATATCTTGAAGACCAAAACATGTATTATAAAATGCCACATCCTTATAGCTAAATGGAGATTGCTCAATCAGACTTTTGTCTTTGTTGAAAAAAACTGAATAATTATTATTAACTGAACCAGTGTCTTTCATTTTTAATATACTGTTTTCGAAGGAGCTGCAGTGTTGCAGTGTTTAACATGCTCAGTTGCTAACCAAAAGGCCAGAGGTTCAAACTCACCAGCTGTTCCTTGGTCAGAAGATGAGGTAGTCTGCTTCTGTAATGGTTTGCAGCCTTGGACACTCTGAGGCAGTTCTACCCTGTTCTGCAGGGTCGCTGTGACTTGGAATGGGCTCAGCAGTGCGTGGTTGGGACCGGGGCTGGTTTGAATGTCTATATAAGTAATCATCTTTATAACCCAAGCTGGGGGTTGTATAAAATGTCCTTCCAGCAGTCGTTGCGGTTATTGGGCCCTGCTGAAGCTGTTGAGACTTTGTGACCCCCTATGGCAGAGTAGAACGCCCCACCAGGGTCCGTAAGCTGGAATCTTTATGGGAGCTTCCTCAGAGTTGTCTCCATAATTGTGAGTGCTCTTAAAATACACAATATTCTGCTTTATATATTCTTATCACCATGTTCCTGGGCAACTATTTTGGTGTTTCTTTCTAGTTTTGGAACTGGCAGTGAGTTCTCATTTTCCCATCTTCTAACGTATATACCACTAGCTGGTTGGGAAGTAAGCCTTTTCTGTAGCTTTTATCAGTGCAAAGCAGATCGAATCATTAAAGAACTTTCTTTTACCTCTCTGTAGAAGAATATTATATATCTCAAGAGAAAAGTGGGGCAGGTAGGATGGAGGGGTGTCAGAAGATGAAGTAAAGGCCCCATGCTTTAATGAATCTGTAGTCTCTAGTTATGTTTTAACTTTATAGTTCTTTGTCTGTAATGTTTATAGACCAGGAATAGATTATATTAGTCAGAAGGCAGGGTACTTAAGTCTAGAAAAGAGCAATAAATTTGTTTTAAAAGCACTTAGTTGTCTTACAGATCACCATGTGGGATTTGGCTGGTGGAAAACTTCTCAGATCAATAACAGATGCTCACCCTCCAGGAACAGCCATCCTGCACATCAAGGTAATGTCTTTGTTGTCTTTTTCCCTAATGATTTGTATGATTATGCCTTTCTATCTGTTTTTAAAGTAAGCGTCTCCCTGATCATCAGAAGTCCAAAAAGTGTTCTTAACATGAAGCTGAGCGTTACCTTATAAGTAGAATCCGTGACACTGTGCCATTTTCTATTTGACTAGTCCAAATGTTCAAGTCATGCTCAAACCAGGGATGGCCAGTGTGGAAGTATTCAGTTTTAAGTTGTACTGAAATCTTCATAAATTAGCAGCCACAAGGGCAAATGGTTACGGTCCTAGACTAAAAGTTGGCAGCATACACAGGCAGCTCCCTGCTAAAAACCCCAGGTGTAAAAGGTCCTTTTCACCTTTCGTTTGGTTCCACTGAGTTTTTACTGCTGAGGTGGTGTGCTCCGTCAGCGTTGGGGGGAGTCGTCTGAGGTTCAAGGCACCAACTGCGAAAGCCCCAAGGTTCAGGCTGTGTTTAGAAATGCGTCTGTTGCTTTCCTTTCCTTCAGGTCTCTAAAGGGAATATGCATTCAGATCCCATTCTCGGCTTTGTTTGCAGACCTGAGGCGGGAGCTGTCCCACAGCGTAGGGTTTACTTACATATAAATACACTCATTTCTAAAGACCAGTGTGAACTTTGTGTTTTGCTCACTTTCTAGTCCATGTTCAAAAGCGTACAAAATAAAGAACTGTACCGAGGGAAGTCTAAAATCCGGCCTCCTAGATTTTAATCGCGTGCACATTTGGTTGCTTGGCTGGGCAGAGCTTACGCTGCCAGACAGGTTTTTAAAGTCTGCAGGCATCTGGAGTTTATGTGCCTGCATCTCCATCTGGGGCAGTTACAGAAAGGCTTTGTAACAGTGTCGATGACCAGTACAAGTACCCGAGAGAGAATGTGGCCTTTCTCAAGGACCGTGGCAATTATGTCCTACCTTTTTTGCATTGATGTGTGCCAGCTTCTAATTTGTCGTCGTTGCTGGTAGATATGATTTACCTCCCTAAATAGACTAACTTCTCTGAAGCCAGGGTCTTGATCTTCGTTACTTTTGTGCGTGACCCATTGTAGCTGCCCACTAGCTGTTTGGCTGCAGGACTAGTTGGTTGGTGGTGTTTGTAAAAGGCCAGCCCTTGTATTAAAGAGAAGACACACAAATCTGGGGGACCCCATAGGAAAGAGGAGAGATGAGGGCAGAGAGAGAGAAGAATGCAACTGGGATGAGCAGCGTTGCGGCAACAGCCATTGTTTGGTTGGGAATGGTGACGCCGGTGGTTTGCGCTGACCCTGTGACGGGGGAGGGGGGAGGTAGCAGGAGAGAGACGAAGGAGGAAGTCGGAGCCATGGGTTGACCACAGCCTCTGGCACTTGCCCTTCGGACTCTTACCCCCACATCCCATCAGTAACAATTGAGGCTTCATCCCAAATCCACGTAGGGTCCAGGCCCTTCAACGTGCAGTTTCATTTTCACAAATTACCCTGATGAGTCAACATGCAAGGGGGAAAGTTTGTGGGAAAATGCCATGATTTAATTCTGTTAGTCCATGAGCTTTTTGAAGCCCCCTTGTACTCGCTTTGGTTTCATGGTTGTTTGCAGACATGCGTTGAGCAGAGTGGTCAAAAAAATTCCCAGGCAAGGCTGGGTCAGAATTCACTAATCCAGTGTTCATGGAGGCTTTCTAGGATGTAACTCCTGTGAGCCATGAGCATTGACTCTATATTTGTTTTAAGACGACTGTCTATACATACACTGTGTGTAAGCCTTAGTGATGCTTTTGGGTAAGCATTGGACTTAGGGCTAGATTCGAACCCACCAGCTGCTGCTCGGGACAAAGCCGAGACTTCTAGGGCCAAGTGGGGCTCCTGCACTGTGCCTGAAATGGGAGGGGGCCAAAGGAGGAAGTTTGTAGTGGCTGATAGGAGCTCTGATGGCGTAGTGGTTAGGAGTTGGGATGCGATCACGAGGTCAGCCGTTTGAAACCACTGGCCAGTCTCCAAGAGACTGATGGGGCTTTCTGCTCCCCTCAATTGATATTGTTTTGGAAACTCACAGGAAGCAGCTCTGCCCAGTTCTACAGGTCACTGTGAGTTGCCGTTGACTTGATGGCAGCGAGTTTGTTTGTTTGTTTGTTTATTTCCCCCTAGCGCCTCAGCCATCTCTGAAAGCATGACAGCATGTGGTCTACGGTGGCCCCCAACCTTGGAGTTAGGGAGGCTCAGCACTGGGAATGATGCTGTCATATGAATTCTAGCTCCTCAGTTTCTTTTTCTACCTCATTCACCTTCAGCATGCCTCATGACCTTGGGCTGTTACCGTGGACATTGTTTATTCTTTGCTATTCTGAGTCTTCCAGATTATGTTTCTATAGCTGAACTATATTTTGTCTGGGAAGCCGTGGTGGGAGAGTGGTTACGCATTGGGCTGTGAGCTGCATGGTCAGCACTTGGAAACCATCAGCTGCTCCTCGGGAGAAAGACGGGGCTTTCTCCTCCTGAACACAGTTACAGTCTTGGGAACCCACGGGGGCTGCCAAGAGTTGGCATTGACTCCGTGGCAGTGGGTGGGGTTTTGGAGGAAGATCACGGAGGCAGGTTTCGGGGAGCATTACATAAAAAGGGCACCACCCACCTCTCAGCGTGCTGCACCGGAGTGGCGTAAGGTTGCTCTGAGGCTCCAGTGGTGCCAGCAGCATTTGAAACCCGTGGCAGCGGGTTTCAGCAGAGCTTCCAGGCTGAGACAGACGAGGAAGAAAGGCCTGACAACCTGCTGTTGGAAATTAGCCGATGACAACCTTATGGATTAGGAGAGATTCTTGTCCAGTGTGAGCCCCTGGGTTAGAAAGCAGTGCATGATAACCCCAAGAATGGGCTCACACATACCAATAATCTGAAGGCAGTGCAGGGCTAGACAGGAAGCACTGTCTGGTCACCAAGAGCAGAAGGTTGCCTGGAGTCAGAGCTGAGTTGATGGCTCGTAATAGCTGGCGTATTGGTTATGCATTGGGCTGCTCACTGAAAGGTCAGCAGTTCGAAACCACCAGCTGCTCTGAAGGAAGAAGACGGCTTTTTACTCCTGCAAAGAGTTACAGCCTCAGAAACTTGCAGGGGCAGTTCTACCCTGTCCTTTGGGGTCCCTGTGAGTTGTCACCAACTCGATGACTGAATTTGTGGGCTTTTGTTGTTGTTGTTTTTTTTTAACAGCAGCATAAAAAGTTAAAATACTTAAAATGGCAGTTTATTCAAGAAAACATATTCAAACAAGTGTCTCTGTCTCTCACCGCCATCAAGTCAGTGCTGACTCATGGCGACCCCTGTGGGTTTCCGGGCTGTCACGGTTTATGGGAGTAGAAAGCCGAGTCTTTCTCCTGCAAAGCTGCTGGTGGCTTCAAACTGCTGACCATGCGAATCACAGCCCAACACATAACCACAACACCGCCAGGGTTCCCTTTCAAACAACTTTATTTTCCAAAAAGTACCCAATATCTTTACTGTGCCTGTATTCGTAAGACCTGCTGTTGTGTGCTTGCCAGTCGATTTCCACTCATGGCCACCCTGTAGGACAGAGTGGAAGTGCCTTCTTGGCTGTAATCTTTATGAAAACACACTGCCAGCCTTTCTTTCGTGGAGTGAGTGATTGAGTGCATTCATTACTGGAAACAACTTCATCAGTGTACCGCCAGGGAACCTTTCTAAAAACCAAGCAACTGGAGATATAGTTAAAGTGAATCTATCATGCACTGAAGACAAAATGAGTGCATAAGCAAATGTGGTGAAGAAAGCTGATGGCGCCAGGCTATCAAAATATATAGCATCTGGGGTCTTAAAGGTTTGAAGATAAACAAGCGGTCATCAAGCCAAGAAGCAACAAAGCCCACATGGAAGAAGCACACCAGCCTGTATGATCAGGAGGTGTCAATGGGATCAGGTATCAGGCATCTAAGACCCAGAATAAAACCATACCCAATGTGAATGAGGGGGGCATGGAGTGGAGACCCAATGCCCATCTATAAACAATTGGGCATCCCCTCACAGAGGGGACACAGGGAAGAGATGAGCTAGTTAGGGTGCAGTATAGCACCGATGAAACACACAACTTTCCTCTAGCTCTTTGGTGCATCCTTCACCCTAGTATCATGACCTCAATTCTACCTTATAAGAACATGCACACTGCTCCAGATAAGAGTCTGCAATATGGGGAATCCAGGATAGACAAACCCCTCAGGGCCAACAAGGACAGTAGAGATACCAGGAGGATTAGGGGAGGGTGGGGGGAAAAGGGGGAATCAATTACAAGGATCAACCTAGACCCCCCTCCCAGGGGGGACGAATAACAGAAAATTGGGTGAGGAGCGATGGAGGACGATGTAAGATAAGGAAAAAATAATCTATAACTTATCAAGTGTTTGGGAAGGAGGGGAGGGAAGGGGAAGAAATGGGGAGCTGATATCAGGGGCTCAAGTGGGAAGAGAATGCTTTGAAAATGATGATGGCAGCATATGTGCAAATGTGCTTGACACATGGAGGAATGTATGGATTGTGATAAGAGGTGTAAGAGCCCCTGATAAAAGTTTTTTTTTTTAAGTGAATGTATCCTCTTCAAAGAACACTGATGAGTTAAACATTGGGCCACTGACTGCAAGATTTGGGGTTCAAGCCCGCTAGCAGATAGCCTCATCGTTCTCCCAGGGAGTGGCTGGTAAACATGAGTCTCTCTGCTCCCATGAAGATTTACCGTCTTGGAAACTCTATCTGGGAAAAAAAGAAAGACACCATCCACCCTCCCGACCCAAAAAACCCAACCACAACCCAGCTCATTACGATTGAGTCAGTTCTGCGTCATAGCCGCCCTATAGGCCCGTCTCTGGGTTTCTGACACTACACATCTCTTTTTTAAAAATCATTTTATTGGGGGCTCAGACAATTCTTATCACAATCCATGTATGCATCCATTGTGTCAAGCACATATGTACATTTGTTGCCATCATCATTCTCAAAACATTTGCCTTCTACTTGAGCCATTAATATATGGGCTGCTCATTTTCCCCTTCCCTCCTCCTCCCCCCTCCCTCATGAACCCTTCATAATTCATAAATTATTATTTTGTCATATGTTACACTGTCTGACGTCTCCCCCTGCCCTCTTCTCTGCTCTCCATCCCCCCTTCTCTGCTGTTCCATCCCCCAGGGAGGAGGCTATACATAGATTCTTGTAATCGGTTCCCCCTTTCTACCCCACATTCCTTCCACCCTCCAGCCATCGCCACTCTCACCACTGGTCCTGAAGGAGTTATCTGTCCTGGATTCCCTATGTTTCCAGTTGCTATCTGTACCAATGTATATACGCTGGTCTAGCCAGATTTGTAAGGTAGAATTGGGATCATGATAGTGGGGCGGAGGAAGCATTTAAGAACTAGAGGAAAGTTATATGTTTCATCGTTGCTATCCTGCACCCTGACTGGCTCATCTCCTCCTCACAACCCTTCAGTAAGGGAGTGTCCAGTTGCCTACCGATGGGCTTTGAGTCTCCTCTCTGTACTCACCCTCTTTTACAATGATGATTTTTTGTTCTTTGATGCTTGATACCTGATCCCTTCGACAGCTCGTGGTCACACAGGCTGGTGTGCTTCTTCCATGTGGGCTTTGTTGCTTCTGAGCTAGATGGCTGCTTGTTT